TGGAGTAGGTCGAAAAGTCCGAAAGAGCCGATAGAGGTGCCGCAGAAAACCGCGATCCTAAAAGTCGTCTGCCCTTCTTATTCCTTCTTTCATCCAATGGAATTGAACCGTTTTTCATTAAGACTGTGACGTGCAATGTAGAATGGACTCTTCGCCACAAACCGTTATCGTCAACTGAGTAGTTCGATCACAACTAGAGTCAATAAAATTTTGCAATGATGGAAGCGGCCAGGGAGGAGGTTCCGGTGCCTGCTACGCGATCTGCGGCAGGCCCAGCCCTCCGAACCCAGGAGGAGCTATTACGTGGAACAGCATTAACCCTTTGACGACAATGCGGATTTGCACGTAGCGTGCTCGTGGGACCACGCCTCTTTTTGGCGCGCCCAACTCTCGCACAAAATGGGGCAAAATTGTCCCTAAAAGCAGTTTTTCTATCAAAATTTTGACTATGACAATAAACAAAATATGACTGCAGTCTTAAGCTTTATGATCATGTATTGTTGGAATTAGAAGTGGAAGTTTGGAAAGAAATCTCGGATTTCAAAGGGATGGTGTTTGAAAACTTCAGAAATTCAAATGTAGAATTTTTGATATAGTTCAAACTCCTCTTGTGTCTTAAGACTGTGAAAAGACGTAGAGGTCCTGATCTGTAATTCAAGCTTAATAATGTAAAACACTAGTTAATACATCGCCGAGCGAAGTGCCATATCCTAAAACTTTCATATAAATTAGCTAGTAACAAACATTTCTGCAAAATATGCTAAACATAGGCGTAACGGAGCTTGCTTATAATTACTGATATGTTGAAAATGTTTTAAATGGGTAAAGAAGAAAATTTTAGGGTGGCACCCACCATTGGGTGCCATTGTCCCACGCGACGGTCATAGTGGCACCCACCGGTGGGTGCCATTGTCGCCAAAGGGTTAAAGCAAAGTGTCCAGATACACGGAAACCTAACACATGAGCCCAGCAAGAGCTGCTGAATGGGCCGACTCTTCTCCGCGATGCACCTCAGGCGCGGATTGCAGGACCAACCTACGAAAAATGAACAAGCCGGGGTGCTGAACTATGCCACAAACGTCTTACTCACCAGATTTTTTTTACCTGAAACGCTTCAACTCTACTGCTACTTTTTTTTGTCGTGCTTTAGTACCTTCTTAGCTAGTCCAATTCCGGAGCACTTACAGCGATGGATGAAACCGGCATTGCCGAGTTAGAGATTTCCAACACTTTCTGCTAACGTACTGGTTGAAGCTCGCAAAATGATGGCAAGGAGAGGTAGATTGTAAGTATTCCAATTACGAATGAAAAACACTGTGTTCACGTCTAATTATGCCCATTTGTGTTTCAGGGTTAGAGACGGAAAAAGTACTTCAGAAGTATTAGGTTGCCTTTCAACCTAATACTTCTGGAGCATTCAGCAGCGAGTTCGTTGCGCATCTGCAGGTGGGGGTATAAGTAAGGCGAATAGCTACAGTAAGAGTTACCTTGTAGTTTGAGGGGAAGTTGATTTAAGGGCGATGTACATCGTTACAGGAGTGAACTCCGTTGGTGCGGGGCCATCAATTTTTTCCTACTCAGGATAGAGGTATAGAAGGGCATCACGCACGTAATCGATCATTTGAAATAGACTTTGATTATGGGTGTAATGGGTGAGAACCGTGGGGAAACGTCTTACATTTCGCCTGCATTTTTGGGGGGGGGGGGGAACCCCAAGGGAAAAACAGTTCTTGGGGGAAAAACCGGGAGAGCACCTTTCGCGAAAGGGCTAAGGGTGCAGGAGCTCCAGGGTGGATCACCTGTGCAGAAAAGTGGATAGGATGCAGGGCAGGATAGTGTGCAGTGTAGGACATCCACCGGTCCTTATCAAAAGTACGCTCGAAATGAGTCGTTCACTTATCTCTTATCCGTAGTGTTCGATAGCTCCAAAGAACTGCTCTCTAGTACTACGGATAAGATAGCAATGGAGTGGCCCCCCCGAACTGGAGTTTCACCTACGTACGGAAGTAGAGTGTGTTGGGCCACACCAAGTATCTCCTCCAAGTGTTTCCATGCATCCGTGTGAGGGCACCCTGAGTGCGTGCGGCTGGTATCCGTCATAGGCCAAATCTCCAACACCAACGACTAATCCATATGTACAGGGCGTGATATCATGTCAAAGACTGATCTATTAAAAGAAACACTTCCGTTACAAGAATAGTCCATGAACGACTCTCCATTAATCTCGGCATGATTATAATCGTCTTCTGCTTCTGCTTTAGCCACCGAGATTGGTATCAACTTTATTCGGCTAACGTTTCGGCGCAATCGCCTTCTTCGGAGCCTTATTAGAAGCCGAGCGTTAGAAGGCACCCTTTCAGCAGAAGACTTCCGTTACAAGTGAGATACACTTGCATTTTTTCATGATTCTGAATCAGATCGAAAGAAAGATGCGCGTTGATCTTCGCCATTTTAGCTCCAAGAAGTATACAAGCAGACCGATCCCATTGCTATCCGACGGGGGATTATTCAGTCATAGGTTGCAACTTTTCCCTTCACAGAAACAAGAGAATTGTCATATAACCTTGCCTGGAAGAACGACGAAAACAAGTGTTGAACAGTACATATATCCGTACAGGGCTAATGTTTTTCCCCATGTAAGTGCATAAAACTCACCGTGGCAACTTCTACGTTGATCAGAACCTGACCGATCGCCTTGATTGTGATCTCGCTAAAATGTGAGATTCAATGAAGGTCCTGTACAAGAATTCCAATGTCTTTTCAACTCTTGAAAAAAGCACACGATAGGAAAGGTGCTTTTAAGCGAGCTTTTAAAGGCAAGATCCGGGATTTCTGGTCGCAATTGGGTGTTTTCTCAAGGAAGTGCAGCGGTACCCAAGCGGAAAGCACGTAACTTTCCAAATGGTTTGACGAGACCATGGTGGAAAGACCCAGGATGCAGCATTGGCCCGCCCAACACCACTGAGCCCACCCACAATCAGTACTACTTCGCCTTTCTGATACTGGAGAAAGGGTTTTACCCCAGCCTTGTCGACGGTTTTCTCCCATTTCCCCATTGATTGCTCTCCACATCTCCACGGTCACTAGCTCAACAATATGCACATCACTTCGGTCGCGGACATTGCCTTTAAATACTCCGAAATAGGAAGAATGGCATGGATGATGCAACGCTTGACTGGAAGTTTTCTGCAGTACCTGAATCGCTGGATAAACTAACCAAGCCTTCCATCTCTTCATGGGCTATGTCGGCAGTACAGCGGCTAGACTAAAGACCTACCGCTATTAAAGGAATCTTCCACGGACCATGGACCAGTGGGCGGGACCGGAAGTTTTTGTGACGAAATGCATGGTAGGTACGGATCCACGTGTCGAACGCACGAACGTGAACAGGATTCACTTCAAACCTTCCCATGAACGTGGATCCGTACCTACCATGCATTTCGTCGCAAAACCACTTCCGGTCCCGCCCACTGGTCCATGGTCCGTGGAAGATTCCTTTAAATAGCGCAGCAAGAAGTAGACCTTGTGAAATGCCAGTTATAGAAAACAAATTATGGAAATTGCATTTGAAAAATTAGGCTGACTGTCGAGTTCTTTTTGAAAAGTGAAAAGGATGTGTGAAGCAGGGTGCTACCAGAATGCCACGCAAGTTACAACCAATTTAATTAAAACAGGATTCCTGTTTTGTGAACCTAAAAAGTTTTGCAGTGACCTCGTAATGAAGGTGAGAACCAAATATTCTCGAGAGCCTTCCAACACGCAGCTCAAAACCTCATATTTCGTTCTAAAGCTGCCAACAGGTAGATGGAAGCTGTTTTCTTCTGAACAGCTGCAATACTAGAAGACATTTTGCTATCTCATAGAGGAAATAGGCCAAAAATAGCTCTTGACCCTCTTCATTCGAACAAACATCAAAACACGCAAGCAGCTTGCCGTAATTCACAGAAAATGATAAGCAATTTGTTTTATTGAGTGTTTGCGTAGTCACAATTGAAATTCAATTAAATTGCAATGTAGAGGTCTCAGAAGAGTTGTCGCTCCTCGGTGAGCCTCGTGTGGTTGAGATCGATAACAGGACGGATTATGCGTTCAGTACTGGCTCGTTTCTTTAGAGGCTAAGAATCGAACGGGACACGTGGCGTGACATCATCGTCCGGGACGGAAGGCCGGATTCACGATGCCACCACTCTCGACCATTTCCCTCATGATACGCTCCAGAGCTTTCAGATCACGTCTAGACCGAGTTGCTAAAAGCAGGAGAGTGAGTGGGGCGAGAAGAACAGGAAAAGCAGGTAATGGTAGTACAAGTGATGTCATAATCAACTCACAAGGAAGGGGAGAGCACTGTGTGAGCAGAACCAATGTGAGTAACAACACGATGGCGAAGAGAAGTCGTTTCATAGCTGCTGTCGTCAGTCAGTCAGTCAGTACGGTGTGTAAGTGTGTCTCGGGTTGAGTCGGTCAACAGCACTCGAAATGGCTTTATAAAGACGTCGAGCTGTTATCAGTGATATGGACTAATATTATCAAGCGTCCGTCGGCGAATACCTGAAATGCCTGGAAGGGACGCAGTAAATAACTTCAGCGAAGTTGAAGCACCGTGTTGATAAGCGAGAACGGGAAGCTGGTGTGCTGTCACACAACCAAACTACTGCCCGAGAAACCGTAGACGATCACTAATCGGCAGAAGAATGCGAAGAATGCGTGAAAAGCCGATGGAAAAAAAGCCGAGATAACGTAAATTCTAAAGTACGCTCATACATACTGTAACCGCCCATTCTGAGAGACAGTACACCTACACTCAGTTATTAGCTCTTATAACATCAGAAAGTTCAAAAAATTTGGGTGGGAAACAACTTCAGATAGTGGTGAAAAAAGGGCTTCCTTTTGCAAACTTATGATTCAAAACAGGCCTACCCCGATGTAAGATATATTTTTCATGTTATGTTCTATATAATCCCTTATTGTCATGGAGATAGCGGCTGGTTTCTTGAATACGCTTAAACAGGATGCGTGCCACTGTCCTCAGGATCCGCGACGACTCCAGTAACGAGACCTAGTCCCGAACGTGATCTCTCCTCCACATCTCCTGTCGAGTTCTGCGTTCGGTCCCAGACCACGGAACACTCAGGGATGTTACTGAAAGTGATCAACTTTTTGGTGATGCCACGCATTTGGCCATCAGAGAAAATTGTGGAAGTGGGTAATGGACATCGCATTAAAACCCTTCCATTCTCAAAACTTTCAATCACCGGAGATATCTTATGGCAAACCCACAGCCATCCTACATATCCAAAACGAAGAGAAGGCATCACTGGCGAGTTTGATCAAGTGGAAGATTTCAGCGAAGGTGAGCCACCACTTTCAATTTGTGGCACCACGGCTCATGGGCACTCATAGCATGAGAAATTTTTCTCATAGACAGTAATAAGAAGCAGGTACAGAGGTTAGTGAAGCAAATCAGTGACAAGATGTTGTATCACTATCAGAACCGAATCCAAAACACATTGTGAAATCATGCTACAGAGCAAGCACGATCAGCACTTATATAGCGCCAGTGCCGAATAGAAGACGAAGGTGAATTTATGTTCTTCATTTGAATACATTGCATTTTTAACTGCATCGTGTTTCCCTGTATAAACACGTGGTATTGATCAATTCAATATGAAGTTTATAATGAATATTTGAATAATCTCCTAGCGAAAGAGCATTCTAATGAATTTTAGACATTACAGGAGGAAGGACGAAGTGGTTACCATTAGTCAGTTTAACTGATGTGCACCACGCATTGACCAGCCACTCGACTTTTCGAATACCCCTCAAGATGAGCCTGTGTGCAGAACGAGGTTTTCTTCAACAGGCAGTTTCAATAAGGTAAAGTGACTTCCATGGGATGAAAGGCATGAATTGCCAAAGCTGCTTTGAACTATGGCGCTACGGCCAATTTCAATGTGCTACCTTTTCGGCTCTGTTCAAAGATAATTTCCACGACACTTTTCAAAATTCATGGATTTTCTCTTATCTGATGAATCACAATGTAGCTAGAACTGAGTAAAACGTCAGTGATTATAATGGTCAGGCGGTTTCAGCGCATTGGTAGGGTTTATAGTAATGCGCGTCTGAATAGAGGTCGCATATAAGGCATCTATAGAACTGGTCAAATGAAAGGCTTCGTTATTTCTTCGCCTTTTTTTGATTGATCGATTGAAAGGTGACAAATTGAGTTGTCATCTCAATCGATGGGAGTTTATAGCATTCAATCCATAAGGTTTTGCAATCATAACTAGAAGCCCACACATGGAAAAGTTGGAATGATGATACTGAAGACTTATAGATGACTGTAAATGCCTACTAATGGTCAAAAATATAATCGCAGTAGCAAATTGGGAGCCTTCTTCGCCTAGGTAGAACCTCATACCTTGATGTAGAACCAAAATTGTCAACCTTGTGGAGCGATGGGTTTTGCTTGCAGAGTCACGGCTCCACATAACTGGTCGAGTTAGACGGAAGGAAGGGAAGGGGTCCCATTTTTTGCTTTTAAGGGATTCGTATCAGGAGGTGCGTGGTCTTTTCTCTGAAAGAGATGGATAGGAAAGTTTTGAAGAGATGTTGAAGACTTTTACGAAATTTAGAGAAATCTTGATATTTTTGAAATCTCTGGCGTTTCTACTCCTAAAGCGAATAATGAAGAGTGTCAGTTTGGTCCAAGATGAAATGAGATCCATCGACCTTAAAAACATCAAATTTCGAAAACATCGAAACATCTGAAACATCGGACCACATAGTTAACTAAATCCAACGGCTCTCGGTTTATTTTGGCCACGCATGAGGTGCGTAGGTGCTATACAATGCCCAAAGTGAGTGCTCGTCCTACCTTTCGATCTCTATCTCTGCGAAAATACTTAGAAATCTCCACAAGTCAAAGGAAGTGAAATTTGGACTGCAGAAGATCTTAAGAAATTCTAGCTACTCTTGCAAATATTCTGCCTAACTGCTTAGCTCATATCAAAAAGTGTTAGCAGGAGCTCATCACTTATGCGGCTATGGATGTGTGGACGTGGATCGAGACGCCATTTCACTCGAACCATTCGTCTTCCCAGCTCCACAAGGCTGTCCATCTTTCCGAAGACAACAAATGGTGCCGCAATTGTGTCGGAAGGCAAAAACAAAGGTAAAAAATGGGCTGCTATACGTTTGACGTCATCTAGATATACTTATTGTGTCCTGTACGAATGGAGATCAAGTATTTTACGTCTCTTTAAGGATTCATCGCTGAGGAACACTCACGGCAGGCGCCTTATTTCAAAAAAAGCTAACAAATTCAAGAAGATAAACAAATCATTTTGAGTCTGCAAAAGTTTTTCCAATCCAATGAGGCTGTGCTAGAAAGGCGGAGTG